CACACTAAAGAAGGTAGAGTCATATTTAAGAAGGTAGAGTCACACTAGGCTGCTCCTCGGGCCACTCTTAAGCTTCTTTCGTGCTTAACAGCCTCGCGCGTGCATCCTCGCGCGTGCATTCATATTTTATGCCTGAAGGCATGAAGATTTCATATTATTTTAGATTTTGTCATACTACAAAACTTTGTTTTTTCTGTCACACTGTTTACATTCAATTTATCTTCCTTAGGAAATTTGAAATTTWAAAAAATGTAGCTTAAGGTCGCTATGGTAATATACGCGATCAGTTACTAAGAAAATCTAATCTGGGCTCATTACCCTTAAGATGTAACTGGCGTATCAGTCACATTACCCATTAAGACCTTTAAAAGGTTATTGAGCCACTTTAAATTGATAAATCTGATGTTTTTCCGGTGCTTTCCTTGTCGCCAGACAAGCAGACGTTTTATCAATTAACTGGCTTTAAATGCTGTTCATAGGTATGTAGTGAGTGAGTTGATTGACACAGAGGAGAACTACATCCGGGACCTTGGGCATGTCATTAAGGTACGTATGCTCAAATGGCTGACAATTTTTATGTCAGTAAATTTTAGTACCTTTTCCTGTGGTTAGTTGTGACAGTAACATATTAGAAAGCATTTTGAAGTTGCCACACATTTGTGCTTTTCGCGACCATAGTTCAAGAACCCGCGAAATTACATCCACATTTCTGGATGTAAAAAACAGGTTTTAAACTGGKTTTTTTATTTACGTCATTTAGCGCATGACAATAAATGCCACCTTCCGCTGATTGTGATCGCGGGCTTGTTATCATTTCAAGATGGCGGATGCACGTCTTAGTCTTCAAGAACTAAAGAATTCTRTGAGCTTCTGTCTGAACCAAATCGAAAATTCAAGTATAAAAAAGTTATTTAACATTAAAATAAGAATTTACTCCGTTTAACTTCAAATTTACCACAAATTAAACTTTTCGCGGGAAAATTGACAACGTGAACATGACGTTTGCACACGTCACCTCGCGCATACTCAACGCGATAAATCGCGGGTGCCGGCAGAGGTTCCTTTTTCCTCTCGCCCTAGCGGGATAGAAAAGGGAATCTCTGCTCGCAGGGTAGAATTAGCTTGGAATCTGTGTCTATACTGAAGCTAAGGCATTCGGCATTAGCCCTCAGTACAGAATGTAAAACCTTCTGTTTCGTAAATCACTCAACCTCCTCCTTCATTCCACGGTCTTCTTGTCATGTCAACATCAATAATATCTTAAAATCTAATTTTGAAATAATGATATTTGTAAGACTCATTTCTCGCGTGGTTTCACAGGGTTACATGGCTGCTCTGTCTAAAGAGTTTAACGTTCCAAACGAACTCAAAGGAAAAGAAAAAGTTATATTTTCAAACATCCAAAATATCCACGAGTGGCATTCATCGTAAGTGCGTTTAAGATCTGGGGTGCTCACCATTTACCCAGAAAAACCCGAAATTCCGGTTGGAAAAAACGATTGGTATGTGTCATTCCGACCGGAAAGTTCCGGGAAATTCGGTCTTCCGATTGAGGTAATCCCTTTTCCCGCTCGTTTTTGTTCTTCCTTTAGACGCGTGCAGCATTTGTAAGAAGGCAAAATTTCCTATCCCACTCTTTTCTTATCATTAGCAAACGATTTTCCAACCAATGGATTGGTTTAAATGGTAAGCACCCCTGGATACACGGTGCAACTGTTGCGTATCGACTTAGTACAGTCTACTATTACGATGACAAACCTTGGACACAACAGTCGCACGGTGTACCAAGGCATATTTTGAACAACAATCGATAAACACGAATTATTTCAATAAAATCATAGCTCAGTAATAAATAGCCTGATAGTTCTCCTTTCTATGCATTTAGGGATTTTGTCAAAGATCTTAAGGAATGCGAAGACGATCCATCAAAATTAGGCGAAGTCTTCTCTTCCGCAGTAAGTATGCTATTCTAAAAATAGTTTTATTTTCAGCTAGGTTTGTTTAATCTGTCTATCCACCCGTTTTAAGTTCTTTTGTTGAGGACGTTCGCAGGGATTGTCTTAGACTTTTTAAAAGTCCTTTGCCCCTTTTTCTATCTTTTTTACTGGCGGGTCGACTGTGGATTTTTCATTTCTACTTTGCGAAATGGCGACATTTTTGGCGCAAAACGGAAATCAACTCGTAAAATGCTCGCGCTTCGCGCTTGCCAAATTCTCCTTCCGTGGGGAGGGAGAGGAAAAGAGTGGACAACTAACAGGAAGTCTAGAATTTTTTTGCGCATCTTTTCTGCTGGTATGGCGTGTTTTTCAAGGTCAAGGTCGTCACAAATCTGACACTGCAAACGAAGCACACGTATTTAGAAACGATTCCAGAATCATTGCGCGATTCCTGGTCTGCCATATTGCGGAACTGGTCTGCTCTTCCCACTTGCACTCCATGCGTAATGTATCATTCTGGTGCTTGACTACTATTTTAAACTATGCACGATCACGTTAGATTTGCGAGGGCTTACCTGATTAATTCGTACTTTCTTTTCTTCAGGAAACAAAACTCGAAGAACTATATACGATATATTGCAGATCAAAAGCCAAGTCTGACGAGCTTGTCCTTCCTCATAAGGAATCCTTTTTTAAAGTAAGTCTCAACTAGGTTCTAAGTTCTGGTCAGAATGGCTCACCAATTAACAAACTTCCAGTAAACTCGACCATTCATTTTTTTCTGACATACTTTGAATATTTGGATAGCTAGGTATATGTTTTTTTTCCTTTCTTCCTCTCATTCATCCATCCTTCAAACCATCCATCCATCCAATTATCGATCCATCCAACCAACCAATAGTTAATTAGTTCCATTATTTGTTTCTGCTGAAACTTACCCCTCATGAGGTAAATGATGGTTACACTGTACATTGTTTAAACTGATTGTTTTTAATCTGTCAAGGACTGTCGAAAGAGACTAGGGCATCGCTTGCAGCTTTCAGATTACTTAATCAAACCAGTACAAAGAATTACAAAGTACCAGTTATTACTTAGGGTAAGTATTCTTTCAACTCTGTGGCAATTACATGCACCTTTTCACTAATTGTGCCGCCCAGTTCACGCCCAGATCATCGATCGTTAGGGTGCATGACATGCATGAACTGAGGGGATCYATGCACTTGCATTGGCACATGAACCAGGTGGGTACATCAACCGTTTGGGTGCATAATATGCATTAACTGGGGGGGAGCTCCATGCACTTGGATTGGCACATGGATTCCCACACTTGGTGCATTCGCCCAAGGGTTTTTTTTTTTTTGGTTCCTATAAATGCTATTTTTTGCTAAATTCGCTCTTCCTAAAGTTGAGAAAGAGGCTTAAACCTGGTGGGTGCTTGATATGGATGGTATTGTTTCAAATTTCCAGTTCAGTTTATCTTTTCAATTTTTTTCTTTTTTTCTTTTTCAGGATATTTTGAAGTTTACGGAAAAAGCAGGGGAAGATGGTAGCGAAATCCAGGTAAGAAACATGTTTGTTTGATTAATTTTCTTAGTCAACATTGAGATCATCAATTTTTTTGATTGTTGTTGTGCTACTTCATTCCAGCGGGCCCTTAATGTGGCACTAAGAATCCTGAAACGAACCAATGATATGATATCCGTTGCTTCGATACAAGGATATGACGTAAGTGAAAAGAAATTTTCAAAATTGCTTTGCTTTGAAATCTAGAAAAAGACCTTTCATTATTGAAAATTATTGTTGTGATTTTGTAGCATGGATTGCATTTGCTATGAAAGTGAAGCTTTAAACAAACAGACAGACAGACAGACAGACAGACAGACAGACGGACGGACAGACAGACAGACAGACGGACGGACAGACAGACAATGTATTATTTTAATCAATTTAATTTTTGAATTGTTCTCGATAGGCAAAGCCGGATGATACTGGGGATCTCATTCTCAGGGTAAGCCTGGAGGTCTGTCATGGTATGCATGGCCACTTTTTTATTCATTGTTCTACTTGTCCTTTGATGTTACCAGGAAACTCTTGAAGTCGCTGAAGGGAAATATCGACAAAAGATGAAGGAACGCAATGTTTTCCTGTTCGAAAAACTTATCGTTGTTACAGAGGCTCTCGAAAAAGAAGGAGGAGTAACGGAATTACGTTTTCATAACAGTATTAAGGTACGCAGGACTTTACTACTAAAGGATTCGAGAAAGAAAACRATTAAGGGATCTAATGCGTCGGTGTACAAAATTTCTCCTTTTCCTTTAGACATTATTATACAAAGATATATAAAAATCAACAACAAATCAACAAACAAACAACGCATGGATGAGAATGGGGTTGAATAAAGGCGTATGATTGTTATGAAAAACTACAATAGGACGTTTGCACGATGGCGTCATTGACCTCTACTACCAGACTCCCTTGCACGCTTTCTTTTGTTCATTTAATTAGCACCAATTGTCTTACTATTCTCATGAGGGAATACAAATTCAAATAAGAAAGAAAATTCGCAAAGCATCTTGGTAGTGGGAGTCAAATGACGTCATCATGCAAACGTCCTATTCGCGTCAAACTAGTTGACTCTAACTACTCAACTCCCCCGTCCCCGTCCCAAACACGACACAAACTATACCACTCTTCCCTCCCTCTTCGCAATGTTGAGATGATCAGCTTCTGATTTCAGTGAGGGGTGTACCTTTTACAGAAACAACATTGAGCTTGGGGTGGGGGGATGGGGGGGGGGGGTGTTTAGAGTAAGTGGGGACCCATTTATTGAAAGTATTCAAATGTCAATAGAAACTGTAGCAAATGATGAGGGGAGTCTCAATAGTTTTTGCGCGGATTGTAGGTTATTTTTGGCAGTGACTTCATAACCTTGTAAATGAATTCACCATTTCTGGATTCTCCCTAAAAATATATAACGCCGCATGTTCAGTGCATGGCACAATAACAACAGTTTGCACATGCTTTTTGTGAAAACTGTCCAGTAGCTCTTGATTATAATTCGAAATACATGATTTTAAAATAACTGATTTTTTTGGGGGGAGCTCTGATTGATCTTAATACCATGTTTCGTGAAAGGATTTTGAACCGTCACGCTATTTTTTTTTTTTCGGGAGCGCGTTCTGGATGTGAACTTTCACATAGAAAAATAAAACATCGTTAACATCTTCCTCAAAAATCAACATCTAATTTGCAATTAAAATTCAGTATATGAAGAGCTACTCTATAGTAGCTTTATATATATAAATAGAATGTATGTATTTTTAAAATAAATCTATTCTTTGGCAGACCCGTGGTCTAGGACAGACAGAAACAGTGGACAGTGATCCTTGTAAATGGGCCGTGTGGCTGCGGAAACGGAGCAACGCAGAGATATACGTGTTCAGGGCTCCATCCATCGAAGTCAAAAACACGTGGGTCAAACACATCAAAGAATGTAACCTAAAAAAGAAAGCTCCAGGACTTCTTAAATGTACGGACAAAATACAATCTGTTGGGTAACCTGTTAGAAAAGAAATGTTAGGGAACATTTATCTTATTATATTTCGAGGTTGGCGTTAATTCTCTGCTTTGAAGTAGGCGCCTAACCGTTGAAATATAGAAAACTCGATCTTCTATATCTTTTGTTAGGCGGCGGTGCCAGGGCCGGCTGCCGGGGGAACCCTGAGAGGTGTCGGGGTACTCGGCATCCTCACGTTTTGGAAATTTACCTTACATTCTGTGACGAAAGGGATATCATTACACATACGCGGACAACGTACAAGACAAAAAGGGTCTATCAATTTTTGGGTCTTACGGCATAAAACGTTGCAAGAACAGAGGGAAATAGAGGTTATCAGTTAGTTTGGTACAAAAATCGTGATCAGGCTTGGACCCCCACTTTTYAACTAACTGCTCCGTCGCCTTTGCTGTTACTATATATAAAATGCGGCAATGATGGGTAAGGTAGCTGAAAAACGCCTAACATGCATATTTTATCCATTTATTTTTAGCTTTATATCGGTCAAGAACCTTTCGCAGAGAAGAGTCAGACGCTAAGGAAATGCTGTAAGTAAAAACAACCAAACTTGGATAGAGCCAGCTAATGATCTAACCAGCTTCTCCAAAATACGAGACTTTTCAGCGGAGTAACTAGCTTTGGTTCAAGATCCAAGAGGATGAAATATAAGAATAGAGAGTTTTAGATTGACTTTTTTTCTCCCCGCAAACGGCAAACGTGACCACGTTTTCATAGTTTTCGTGTATTTTACTTTACCTTTTACAAACCTTCTCACCAAGCGCAAATACTCTTTTGTTTTTCTACTACTTGGACTTTTTTGCGATCCTTTTTCAGTAATTTAAAAGAATTTTTTACTGGTCAACTGACGTTTCACGTTTGCCGTGAACGTAAATCTAAAACTCTCTAATAATTAGTGTTTGGTGTAGGTACTAATCGCGTTCATCGTGCCATTGCAGAGACGCTTTGACACCAAACTTACTATCAGTTGAAGACGGACCTGCGGAGTGTGGAAGTGATAGGAAATCTAGGCGAAAAAGTTCTAAAGTCATGTCAAGAAAGAAGAAAAATTCAGCCATTTCAGACAGACTGAAGGAAAACATTCTGAAGTTTCGTGCTGAAGAGCAGATGCTTTCTGTCGAAGAACCTTGTGAAGTATCATACGCTGAACCGCCCGATAGCTTAAGCTTTTCGCAAGCCGATATTCCTCAATCTCCTGTCTCACCCGATCCACTAGCCCAGCCAGAGTCTACTATCCAACGGCGAATAAAGATTGAGACTGAGGTAAGATAAAACTTCAACAGACCTATTGTTTTATAAAACTAGCTGTATAGGGCATTGTCGTCATGGGTTAATGCTTTAATAGTGCTTGATAACGTGCACTAATTGTCAATTTTATAACCTCCATCCAGTTGTTGACTCCGACGAAGGACTAACGTTCGAAACGTCAGTCTACGTACGATCTTTCGTATTTACGGTRATAAAATTATCTACTACGACACATTTGTACAACATAAAGTGCAGATATTAATTATTATCAGTACATATTAATACGCATGCTCAAACCAATATTCATAGTTAAATTCGAGTTTACGGTAACTACTAATAATGGCTTAAGCATGTGCAGCACAGAAAACTTGGGTTTAACTACGAATAATAGTTTGAGCATGCGCACTACAAAAGCTCGTGTTTAACTACAAATATTGGTTTTCTGTACTGCGCATGCTATTAAACAATCAAACATTTAACATGAGGCTCCCTTGTAAACCATGATGTGTTTTATTCATCTAGTGTTTTAAATATTCTTATTTTATAAGCCGAAATATTTCCCCTGCAAAGTAATGTTATCCAAGGGTCACCGGGTACTATATTTGTTTTTGAACAGGAGAATCAGCTGAAAAAGGTATTGTTGCTGACTCGTTTGATCGCGGCAAGGCTACTCCAAACAAAAGACGCGGCTGAGGCTCTTTCCTTGTATGAAGATGTGATTGGGAGTGTTTTGCCGGTTGAAGAACTCAGAAAATACGAAGGGGTAGGAAAAACACTATAGTCACTGTTAAAGTTAGTTAAAGTTACCAAGAGAATACATTTGACCACACCACCACTCGTCCAGCTTATCACAGCCTCACTCTACGTTGTGTATATTTTACTTTTTGCTTTCAACGCTTTTTTGATATGTTAGGCCTAGGGCAAACGTCGAACTTTCCATGCACCGAACTCATTAAAAACAATGGCTATCAGGTGATTATGAGGCGGCATTCTATGATGTAATTAAGTTCGGTGCATGGAAAGTTCGACCTTTGCCCTAGGCCTTAGTTTGTGAGAAGTAATTGCGACGAAAGGTGTCAAACACAAAAATACAGTAGTTAGTCTAGTAGTTTGATTACTGTCAAATAAAGGATCCCAACCACTCTCGCAATTATCATGACACTCCTTGCAATCGTGACATAAGGTGGCCTATCAAATATTTTAGCCTCGCTGTTACCAAACTTAAGCAGGAGTTGGTACTGTTTTGTGGCCAAACGTTTCTTCTTATATAAAGTATCTTTAGAAGTTCAGGTTTTGGATTACAGCGCGACCATAATACAATCAGCATTGCAGGACTGTTTAATTTATTTCTGATGTGTGAAGTGGAGGATGGAGGTACAAAAATATGTGATTGCACTATCGATAGTCACACTCTTGAGCTTCGCGCTGTAAGAAAAAACGCTCACTGTCTTTACGTTTAGTTGTGATCACCATATTGAAAAACTTATCTTGTTATTTTCAGTCCATTACTTCACGAGATCTACTGCTTCAGCATTGTACTGAAATTTACGACAAATGGCGAAAAGAGAATGTCTTTACAAGGTACTACTGATATGTTACCAACTGACAACAGTAACTGTCCAAGCGCATTGTGTTCTCTGATAAATTTTCTACTACACTTTACACTCACTCAGAATATCCAGTGATCCATATTCTTGGGGTGCATTGATGCACATCAAAATCACTCAAAATCCTTTGAGATATAAGTAACAGCATAGTTAACATAGTAACTATGGTAACAGTGAATGACAGACATGTTCATTGATCTAACAAGAGAAGATAATGGGAAATGCTTTGTTATCGTCAACCAATATGGTGGTTATTATGTAACATTAGTATTCTAACCATTGATATTTCCTTAAATTGTTTCGTGGTTTACAGTGAAGACGCAGAAGAGCCCTATACATCAATAACAAGCCATTTAAGCGAAACAGCAGGGTAAGTCAAACATAGTAAGGCCTAGGGCAAACGTCGAACTTTCCATGCACCGAACTTAATTACATCAAAGAACGCCGCCTCATTATCACCTGATATCCATTGTTTTTAATGAGTTCGGTGCATGGAAAGCTCGACGTTTGCCCTAGGCCTAAGGCACTGTAATGTTAATCTAACCGAGAAAGGTACGTAGGTCTATCATTAAGGTCTGTCTGTCAGAAGGATACGTACACGTAGGTTTATCATTAAGGTATATCTGTCAGACGGGAACGTAGGTCTATCATTAGGATTTGTCTGTCAAAATGGTATGTAGGTCTATCATTAGGGTCTTTCTGTCAGAGGGGACGATGAGTCTATCATAAAGGTCTGTCTGGGAGAAGGGTACGTAGGTCTATCTTTAGTATCGGTTTATCAGAAGGGTATGTATGTCTATCATAAAGGTCTGTCTGGGAGAAGGGTACGTAGGTCTATCTTTAGTATCGGTTTATCAGAAGGGTACGTATGTCTATCATAAAGGTCTGTCTGGGAAAAGGGTACGTAGGTCTATATTTAGTATCGGTCTGTCATAGGGGTACRTATGTCTATCATTAAGGTCTGTCTGGGAGAAGGGTATAGATCTGTCGTTAGAGTCACGTACGTATGTCTGCCATCGTGGTTGCTGTTACTACACAATATGGTTGGTCTGTCAACTGGCAGCTGTTCGAAGGGTAGGGTATTTGCTCCGTTACCAGGTAGGGTTTTATTATTTACTCTACTAGTCACGTATATCACGTTATATTTGGTTGAAGTTGTTTGATGTATAATTATTTTCTGTAGATTTTGTAGTTTACACAAAGGGAATCCTTGGTCTGTAGTCCTGTACACAGTGAGTGCAATGGCAGGCAGTCGTGAGCAAAAATGGCGCGATGCTTCACAAGCCTTTTATCGGTTGTCACTTGTTTACAGTGCACTCCAAGCAACATCGTGTGCGGGTACGAGATGTTTTATTAACTTATAATGATAATGGTAATTATGATGATGGCATTTAGGTGTGGTGTTGATGAGTACTGCGTGTTTAGGTGGGAAAACCATGTACAAACACAGTAATTACAAGAACCTTCTAATACTTTTGAGCGATAAACATGACATGTTAACGTTGTTCGGTTTTCACGAATATAGAAAGAATAGCACTTGATGTTTTTGCTGCACTTGGTGTCTGCGTTAACAATCTCTTGGTGGTTTATTTATTTATCCTTTTTTCTTCCTGTAGTGGATAGTCTAGTTGATGCGCACTGGATGTGTTGTCATGCAGGAGACTACCAAGGAGCTGTCAATTTATTCTACAATGCTTTCATAAGATCATTAGCATGTAGAGATCTAATAAGATGCTTGAGGTAAGAACACAATTAGTCAAGTAATGAATGAATCCGAAAATAGACTATCTTTCTTACCGAAATATAGCGCGATTTGTTTTCATTCCCTGGTCCTCCTTCCTTCTCCTCTAACCACTGTCTTCATGCACGCATGCGCAGTATGGTTAGGATAGCGGGCAAAATGTGCAAGAGAACTTTCCAACAATTCTGACCTGACTCTTTTCGTTTACTGCAAACGATGTTTGAACATTGGGCTCGTGTGTTTTTGATCAAAGGTTCGAACAGCAAGGCTTATATCTAGTGGAGAGATTAACAAACAAAGACAATAACAACAACTGTGGCGCCGAAGATGACAATGAATCGCGAGGACTTGTGTCTTCTCAGCACCTGGCCTTCCTCATCAACATGAGTCGTGCTACCAGACGTAAGGACTGGGCTTGGTTTGAATTCGCTGAAACAGAATTAAACATTATGTAAGTGATAAAGCTTGTGTGATTGGAAACCCGGGATGAAGAGCAATATTTATCGTTATCAATATCTGCGATACCTTTGTTTCTCCTACTGCTTGATTCCTTTTGTTGTGTCGCGTATTCTACTTGATAAATTACAGTATCTATTGATGTACATGCACACATGCTAGTGCTAGTTACCAATACTTCGTTCGATCTTTATTTTTCAACATGCAGAGTCAATTTGACTAGTGGTCGACAGGCAGGCGCCATTTTATCAGCCGTATTCAAGAAAATGAGAAACGCTATTGGAGAATCCTCGATGGAATCATTTGCGTGACCTCCACAAAATCCTCATGATTGACGTTCAATCTCTCTGTATGGACACACCCTCAAATAAAGCCAAATATCCCACAGTAATACGTTGTCTATTGGAAGGACCCATTCAGCAAAAGCCTAAAACGGCAGATAGACATGGTATATGAGTGAATTAGATTAATAAAGATCAATAAGGTTTTATTCAAAAACGAAAAGGTGACTATCGACTTATACGGATCATAACGGAAAGTGACATACAATTATTGGATGAGGTTGAGCATGTTCTCGTAAATTATCAAGACCGAGGGTGTGTCAAAGCCTCAATAGGCTGAGGCGCAGAAAACAAACAAGGTCTTGATAATTTACGATATCACGCGAAATGTTTTTTTTATACATTTTATGAACTGAGAATAAAGGTTTACAGTCAAACCGGGTCAGGCGTTGCCCCCAAGAATGCATTATTATATAGATTGAGGATCTATGTCTCTAATTGGTTGCTAAGAGGTTTCCCGGCTCCTAAAGTCTTCCTTTCCGATTTCTGGTAGCCAGGAAGCCCGTCGCCAACAGTTTTCCAAGATATTTTCTATATATGGAATATCCTTCTTTTAATCCAAYCAAATAATTCGTTTACATATTTTCAAACGAAATGCATTCTTGAAACAAACAATGGTTCAAATAATCATATAATCGAATGAATAATGCTTTCTTGGGGGATAAGCTTGACCTGGTTTGACTGTTATTCTGTARTCGAAAAAAATATCTAACGTATTTTAATTTCTATTGCGATCTTGAGTGAACTTGACATGATAAATGTATTATCTGTAGAAAAACCTACAGTACAGATGATACCTTTATTATGTCAAGTGCACATGATGTCAGGGATTGGCTGAAGGTTCTCGGCCAATCAGAAGCGATCTAGTGAGTAAAATGTAAAATAAACTTAACTGAATATGCACTTCGTACTGATCCGTATCAAAGCTACTTTTTGCAGACATTATTTTTGCCATGCATTACATTTTTTTACTAGAATTTGGATAAACTCCAGCTATAACGAAAAATCAATTGTTTAGTCAAAGAGTTGTTGTTCTATTCTCGACTTCAAACTTCAAATATTCTATTATGATTTTATGTATTTCATTATAACTTCAGATGTAAACAGTTCATCTTATCTGCAAATTATAATGAAATTTTGAGGAAAGGTTTTTTCGACATCCTTGCTAAGTTATAATTGGTTATGTTGCAATGTTTCTCGATGAAATTGCGCTTTGTTTTTGTTATGAAATAAGGTCATTCAATGTATTTAAAAATACTAATAAAAATGGCCAGGTCGAGAAATGCTTGGTATTTAGGGGATCATGATATTCCCCCTTAACCAGGCTTATTATTCTAAGAAATTCCAAAGAAACGAACCAGTACGGTCAAATAACACTATCCAAATGAGAATTGTAATATAAGAAGATTATTTTTCTATTGTTCTGTCTAAATCTCTAAAGGCATTTAAAGTGCATGTCGAATTAACTATGGACATTAGCATGAGAAAACGCTTCRGGGGCGGATCCAGTGACGATTACAAAGGTTTTACTAGGAATTCGAAGAAAAGGGAGGGAGGGGGGATGAAATTTGAGCAAAAGGGGGTGACTAGTCAGCCCTTTTTCCACACCTGGATGCGCTCCTTCGCTTTTAAGAATTAACTTGTTGTCAGTTGTATTTGTAGCTCATCTAAAGTGAGTAAAAACGATGCGTATAGAAAGTTTCAGGCAGTGTACTAATAACTTTTATATAATGATATTGAAAGTGTTAAGGATTAAGGTTAATACAAATAAGTGCTATCCATTAAATTAAAGATGTTTTGTTGACATTTGAGGTCATGCGTAGTGTATCRATACCAGTTGCTTATATACAAAGTATTCTTAATATCACTGGTTTCGCAATGATAAAACGCATAAGCCATGCAGTGAAGAAATATTCACGCAATTGTAAATTTTCGGTAAGAATTCATCAAATCGATCATTCTCCTCTTTAAATATAAAGCTGTCTTCTCAATTTTATTGAATTTGCTTTTTTCAGTTTTGTGGCCCGTACGCGTCAAGTTGGATTCGCACGCAACCTAGAGAAAACTCTCATTCCTTTCCCATATGAATCTTTCACGAAAATCACCCTACACTTCTGGAAGGTGGTTACGACACACCACCTTGCGATACTGTTTGGTCAATAACGCGATCCCACATTTCCTTCCATTTCTTTTTTCTAGATTCATGTATTCACGTATTGCGTGACGATAGACGCGTCACAGCCCTATATATCCCAAGTCAAAAAAAACTACAAWTTTGATTTTATACAACGTTGTCCCTGCTCCTGTGCTAATACATTCATTGTCTGGCTGTTTAAATACCCCTAAAATTTGACCATATATGGTCATTTGGCGGGAAATTTGAATTTATTTCATTAGCTGTAATTTCACGCCATTGTATCCGAATGAGATCGGGTTTTCACCAGAAATTATAGAATTCTATGCAGAAAACTATTTTACATTTTTTACTATTCCTTTTGTAAATTTTTATTCTTATGCCAAATTTAGAAATGATTTATGACGTCACAATAGCAGTCACATGGGATGAAACCGACGTTAATTAGAAGGTAATTTATCAACCTACTTCCCTGCCAAGTTTTATCGCATTTGATATATTGTACTTCTGTCTATGGCCTAAAACTCTCAATGTTGAGGGCAACAGGAGGAAAAGCCCTAGCAACCCGACCATCGTGATCTGTGAAATAATTGGCAATGATAAAGTTAAGGTCATCTTGGTAATAATATATTTTCTGGCGGGGTCGGATTAAATTTTTAGTTTTGCGAGCTAGCTGCAGATATACCTTTATCAAGGAATCCCCAAGGTAATAAAATGACAAACAGGGAACATCGTATTGCTTAAATTTATACTTCAAGTATAAATTGCACGTTACGTCATCGCTGCTTTTCGGGGGAGCGAAAAGATTTCTTTAGCATCCATTTTAATTCTCTTGGAAACGGTTGCAACCATCAATACGTACGACGTTTCGAACTAAAAAACTAAACGAACTAAAAAACTAAACGAACTAAAAAACTAAACGAACTAAAAAACTAGACGAACTAAAAAACTAAACGAACTAAACGAACTAAACGGTTCAAAATACGCCCGGTACCTAGTGTGTAAAGGCATCCTTAGGTGATTAGTTGAGTGCTAGTTGACTGACGTCACTTCCGTCCGTCCGACACATGAATCCCGCTTGATGTCAAAGCAAAACTGCTCACAAATGCGGCTCTCAAATGCACAGAAAAAATCG